GCACGCACGCACGCACGCACGCACGCACGCACGCACGCATGCACGCATGGACGCACGCATGCACGTATGCAAGTTTTCCTGCCTTCCATCTCCAAATGGCCATTTTATTCGTTAAAAAAAATGTGATCTTTTGACAATTCTGGAGAGCAGACCAAAAGTGTTTCCCTCTACCTACCCTTCATCAAGAATACCACACGGCTACCCTCTTCTGTGGACATCGGCCTTAGTCAGCTGATGGCTTAGTTGGGTCATTCATTCATTCATTCATTCATTCATTTATTCATTCACCTCTACATCATTTCTTCAATATTCTGAGGTGCCTAATAACTCTCTGAGACCATGCTAACCAGAGATCAAGAGCGGTCCAGGCTCCATGAGCAATCTCATACATTCAGTGAGCTCACCCCACCCCCACAGGAAGCCATGAGAGGGTTCTACTCTCTGCCTTTCTAAATAGTCTTTGAAGCGATGTACAACAGAAGAAAACTCAGCAAACAAATGAAAAAAAACAATGCAATTGACTATTACATTTTGTTCTATCTTTAAAGTCAATTTTCACTTCATGCCTCAGTTCCATTTTTGAATGTAGTTTTGGAAGAGAAATGGTAACTGGGTGACCATATTAAAATTGAGTTACATGCATATATAAAAACTTCACAATGAAGCCCATTATTTTGTATAATTAATATACACTCATAAAAACATAATCAGTGTTTATGATTTATCTCTCCATTTCTATCGTTCCTGTCAGGTTCATCTATCACTCAAATGGCACCACAACTTACCCAATGAATACGTATTTGAAGAAGGTTTGCAAATGAGATTTATTTTATTTTTAATTTAATATTTTTATTTGTAATTAGCATACAAAATATTAGGTTTCATTGTGGCCTTTTCAAATAACGTTTTCTTGTTGATTCTTCTCCCATTGCATCCCCCCATCCTATTGTCCCTGCCCTCTTCCCCTCACAGAAGCCTGCTTGCTGTGTTCTGTAGGCTTCCTCTCCCCCACCTCCCATCATGGTCGTCGTTCTGCACTCACACCCACATATACAGAAAAATTAAAAGCTAGCATGTGCATATGAGACATTTCGTGCTCTGAACTTAGATGTCCTGTGCTGTTTCTATCCCCTGTACACCTCGTTACAAATCCCTCCCTTGGTTGAATCTGAGTTACTATCTGCAGTGAAACCTTAACGGAATTTGTGGCATTGTGCTTCACTTCTGGTTATCCTTTCTAACTAAACAGAAATACCTCTACGTTAGTGAAGAGAAGCTTCTTCGAATAGAAGCTTCTTTTCCCATTCGCCATCCACTTGTATCCCTCCAACCTGGCCTGACAGTACACTTCCTAGGCCTAGTAGCCTCCACTTTGCTTTCGTGTCTTGTGTATCCTATTACTTATTTTTTCTTCCTCACCCCTCCTTTAAGACCTGTTTTCCCTTCTATCCCCCTGTAATGGTCCCCTTTCTGATAAGACCAGGTTCTTTTTTCTCATGGCAGTACACAGCAAACCCAGTGCTGGTCATGAAGGTTTTATTGGATAACTTACCCTCCTCTGAGCCTTCCAAACCTTCCATGCTGCTGGACACTTCACTTAATGACTCAGCCATGGTAAATTCACTAAAAAAAAAAAAAAAATACGCAACAAATGAGGAAAAGATGATTCCTTCGATATATAGAATACAACAAAATCATTCCATCTTCGTACTTATTCTTAAGTTATATTCTTAAATTATTCAAGAAAAGACATACAAATGCAATTGCCATTAGGGGTAGGTATCATCTCCTAAAAAGACAATAATCCCAATAATAGGAAGCAACTGGAAGAGGAAACTACATAGAAACACAGGATTTCTTGCCCAGGGCTGGGGTGGGGGGAGTTGGGTAGTGATGGATGAGGAATTGCTTCGACACCTGTGGCCATCTTAGTGAACATGGCGATACTTCCCAGCACTCACATCTCACAGAGGGAAAAAGTACATCTTAACTTCAGAAACCCCTGGAAAGTAGCCTGTTACACATGATGCCAGGCCACCTTAGGCTCACATTGTCCTTTGCTCACCATAGCCAGTGATAGAAGGAGATCCACTAAAGAGCAATGTATGAAAGACAATGGTACAACAAAGGTGGGAAAAGGGTATTTTTGACACCCCTGCAACTCAGTGTCAATATGAGAAGCAATTCTGTTTAATCCCAGAGTTCAGTCTGAATATTTTCTGGAATAACTGCCTCATTTCCCTCAACTGATCCTAAATGCCCTGAGAACATCAGTACCAGCAACCATGCATCTCAGGCAGGGCCTATGGAACATCTCTCCTCCTCACCAAACCCGCAATCACAGCAGAATGAATAAACCTTCCCTGAACTGCACATCCTTTCCTGTTAGCTCCCCATCTTTCTCAGGCTTATTAGCACAAAATCCACGAATTGTCTCTACTCACTCATTCTGTGGTTTCAATCAGAATTCTCTTGTGTTCGTCCCAGCAAGGGCTCCAAAGTCACCTGCCTTGGTTCCCACAACAGAGCTGCTCTGCCTAAAGCCAGCGTTCTTACAGCATCTCTCTCTCCTACCCTCCCTTTTAAAACATTTGTATCAGTTCCTGTTCAGAACATCTCACTCCCCAAATTTTCCTCTTTCCTTATTGGCTGGTCTTTCCCAGGCTCCTCTAAGGGCCCATTATCCTAGCCCTGATTTTGAAACATAGCATGCGGGGCTTTGTCCTTGGCCCTCTTCTTTATCAGCAATAGTGTCCTAGCCCAGGGAATGTTAAGAGAAACCCAATTGTAAGTCACATGCACAATTAAAAATCCCTTAGCAGCAACACTTCAAAAAGGAGCAATCCCGAGAACAGGTGAAATCATTTTAATAAGGTATTTTGTTGAATCCAATTTAAGCAATATATTATTTCAACATGAAATCACTATAAAATATGAATAGTATATTTTACGTTTTTCTGGTCACACCAGTTGCATTAGCCCCTTGCCCTGCTTAAACTTATTCACTAGCTTTCTGCCGTTTAAGGTTAAAACCCTACCTTTCTTTACACATGGGCCTCCCTTTCCACTCCATCTCCCAGCAGCCCCCTGCACTTTCATTCCCACATGGAGCTCTCCTAGAATCATGAGCCATTCCCTAAACATACTACATTCGTCTGCTTTATCTGAACCATGCACAGCCTGTCCATTATGCCTGGAATGCCATCTTCCCAAATGACCACACCCTTAAGTCCCCTCTTGTTCTTCGTGACTCCATTACCCCCATCTACACCCATCATGCTCTTGGTCCTTTGCACATACATCTTCCATAGCCGGCATCACCTAATGGGCAGGGGCAACATTTTGCTTATCTAAGTAGCATCATTACCCAGTAGCACTAAGTACACAAGGTACTCGCTACATGTGGTTGGGAAAGATGCATGCAATAGGAGCCAGAGCTGGGTGCTGGAGCACAAAATCTGATTCAGTACAAAAAGTGGTCCTCTTGTTTAAATGTATGAGAACACATTGTATGAGATACATTTCAAGTAAAGGGCTTTTCTTTGCATGAAGTCCTATGAGAAAAACTGGTAAGACAAGCAAGGGAGGAGAAAATTCATATTTTTATACAGAGAAATTCATGTAAAAGGGTCATCAGCAAGTCTGGCCCAGCAGAGATATAAAATTGAATTATGGAGTCATTTTTTAAAAATGTATGCTGGATCAAAGTGTACCTCAGTAGAGGAGCATGCACACAACCTTGGATTTGACCCTAGCACCACACATACACACACAAAATAATGAGACCTAAAATGCACGCTTGCTCCCTTGGGCTGCCCCAGAGCTGCCTTCTCCTTCTTGCTGTCTTACTTAAAAGCTGTGACATGTCTAAAGATAAAACAATGGAAGAGGACCATACTCCAGAGTTGCTGAAGTTGTTTAACCACAGCCTCATTTAAGTTCAAGGGTCAACAAGACTGCCAGTGTTGTCTCCTTTCCAGAATGGGGAATGATACTGGGGAAGCAGTTAGCCTTCTGTTCTCAAAACCATTCAATAATCTCTCCAGGGAAGAGCACACCAACTGGTTGTCCCATGCCAAAGAGTCAGCACTGAAAACATACATAAAAGTTATATAACATGAACTCACTGGGTAATATTTGGGAATATGTGTGAACATAAACACAATATATGCATATCATAACAGTTAATGGGGGGAAGAGACCGTGAATTTGAAGGGGAGTTGGAATGGGTATAAGGGAGGGTTTGGAGGAAGAAAAGGGAAGGGAGAAATGTAATAATTAAATTACATTCTCAAACATTAATTTAAAAACTACAACCAGTTCTCTAGGATAAACACTTTACATGGGGTCTTCGGTAGATAGAATTCATAGACAGTTCCCAAGCTTTTCACCCCCAGTATGCATGTCCTATATGCTCCCCCCATGGGTGGGTGGACCTAACCTAATTATATGAGCCCAGGAAAAGAGGGTTTAGATGTTAGATATGGAAATAGAGAATCGAGGCTGTAGCAGATGCTTTTCGGTTGGCCTTGACGGAACAAATTGTCATGGTATAAAGGCCAGAAAGGCAGAGAACACTAGAAAGCATCTTGTAGCTGAGAGCAACCTTTGGTTAAGAGCCACCAAGAAACCAGAGATCTTATAGGTAGTCATGGTGGTGCATGTGTGCAATACCTGCACTCAGGAGGCTGAGGCAAGAGGATGGCTTGAGTTCCCAAGTGTGGGCTAGCCTCAGTGTTCGGGGTTTGGATATGAAGTGTTCCCTCAAAGGCATTGTTGAAGACCAGCAGGTGGAGATAATCGTTGAGGTGATTTGCATGGTAGTGCACTCCTTTAATCCCAAGATTTGGGAGGCAGAGGCAAGAGGATTTCTGTGAGTTCAAGGCCAGCCTGGTCTACAGAGTGAGTTCCAGAATTACATAGAGAGACCCTATCTATAATTAAGTAAATGGAACTTGAGGCCTCTGACCTAATGAATGTATTCACCGATTGGTCGGCTTGTATTTTGATGTTATTAGTGAGAGGTGATTGAAATTTGAAAACAAGGTCTGGATGAGGTTGTTACTGGGAGCACATGTCAAGAGCACTGTCACCAAATTCCCCACTAATCTTCACCTCTGTTTCAAGCAGGATGCCTGTGAGATTTTTTGTTTGTTTGTTTTATATTTTTTGTCACGGTTACTGCTATCACATTTTCTAACAGTTAATAATACATGAGGTGGGAGAAGTGAATCTCTTCAAAAATTGGGGCAGGAACAAGAGGAGAAGAAAGATAAGTGGATGTTGGTGTAGGTTACGAATTGTCCTTAGCTGGTTTGAACCTGTGGGATTTGGCTCAGTTTTTCCCTGTCCTTGCAATTTCAGAGGTACCAGGGAGGGGAGGTGGCAATGTGGATGGGGAAGGGAGGCACTGGAAGCCATTTCCTGGACCTTGGATATAGAGGCAATAAGCAAAGATAAGAAATCAGTCCTCAAGCGTATGCCCTCAGCCTACACTATATCATCCGCATCCCTTGTGTGGCAACGTGTAACTTGTAACTTTTTGGTTCTGTCTTGAGAAACTTTAGTCCACACTGTGGGTTGGAAGACACAATCTGTGGGGTTCTGTCTTGAGAAACTTTAGTCCACACTGTGGGTTGGAAGACACAATATGCAAATCATCCCATGGCCTCAACAAATAGCCTTTGTTCTCTCAGTTCTATCTGGCCTGAAAGAGAGTGGTCTCTGAATAAAACCCCTCTTAACAGGGAGGAATTGGGCTAAGGAGAGGAGACTCTGCTATTCCCCAGTGGGTGCATACCCAACGAAATAACAGTGCCTCCAAGAAAATGGGATCCCTGAAGATTCTCAGCTAGGGTGATACTTTTGGGCCTCTGGTTTCCTTAGATCTTAAATCCATCGACATTCCCTTAACTGTGAAAAGAAGCAGTTGCTATGTCACACGTGAGCAGAATCATCTGAAGGCACTCTAGCTCCTAACATCAACCTTTACTCCACTCATGGCACTACCTCCTGACTACTTTGCCTGAAATAGCTACTATTAGACCCATTCTCTTGAATCGTATAACCAAGTCAGACCATTACTCCTCAGGGCCTCTCTCCTTCGATACACCCAAACCCTGTGTGAATGCATAGTATGTGCTTAGATCTGTTTCAGATGCTATGCAGGCAATGGCAAACTAAAACTAGTGTATGTTTGCTGTTTACTGGACACTGAGTGTGTCCTGACACTGAAGTGTTTTACTTAAAAAACCTTCTCACTGAATCCTCAGGGATTTCCTGTGAGGCAGGTATTCTTTATTCTTACCCCCTCCTTCGTAAGGATATGGAAGCTGAAGGGCTAACCTGCTCGCATTGTTAAATATATGGTACATACAAGTTAAGAAGGTAGAGGTAGAGCCTAGGACTTCAGAATGCTATAGAAAATGATCTAGTCCCTGATGACAAAGAAAATTGAAAACACTGCTTAGTAACACATGCCTATAATCCCAGCCAGTAATCAGGAGGTTGAGGCAGGAAGATTGTGAGTTCAAGGCTCCATAGTAGATTTCAGAACACTCTGGGATTTATAGTGATGTCC